CGGGAAGGTCTTCCGGAGGGTCTTGGCGGCTGCCTCGCACGCCTCGTTGTTGGCGTGCGAAAGCTGCAGCAAGGCTGCAATCGACGCCTTGCTCTCGAGGTACTAGTCGATCGAACCGTGGTGGGAAATATGCAGCAGCGGAACGATAGAGAGCTGTCGGTACCTTGGTGACGACCTTGAGAATGCACTTGGCGCGGTCGACGTCGCCGATGATGTCCATGTCCATCATGGCCAACAAGATCTTATGAAAGGACTTGCGCATCGACTTGGCGTACTCGGGCTGGCTCTCGGTCTCGTCGAGGAGCTTGGCAAACTGCGTGACATCCTCGAGCAGTGCTTCGCAGTCGCACGTTGCGTACACAAAAGCCTCGTCCTTGAACACAATGTCCCCAGGCGCAAAGCTCTTGGTGGCCGTCACGAAGCGGCCTTTCGTCGCGTCTGTCTGCGTCGCGATCGCCGCGGTGGCAAAGGTCGGGAGCTGGTCGAGGCTCATGCTGGCAAAGGCGGCGTGGATTCGAGGATGATTGGATGGCCTTTCCAGCAACGCGCGCTGTGATTGGCTATCGCATGGTGCTGTCAAATCCATTGAAACTGGCGGCCGGCAGGCATTTGATCGGAACCAGTTTTTTGCAGTTTGTTGGCCCACGACTTGATACATACTTGATACTTATCTAGCCTATCGGCTCGTTTGCAGCGAGAGGGCCAACAAAGAGAGCCTGCTACTACCTGGTCTGACATCTGAAACACAATGGCGAAAGCAACGAACCAGCACTTGCTGGGACAAAAGTCACGTACGTACTCTACTACTAGTATGTGAACCTTGGTCCCGCGTGAATCGCTTCAGGGGTCTGGTCGTTGATCGCGACGGGGTTGCCGAGGTGCTACTAAGGAATGCGCGGTGTTTGTTGCTTGGCGCCATCAGTCGCCAAGGAACGGTCACTGCACAGTGTTGCGTCGTGCTTCCTACCCCGGCTCGCCTGTCTCCCGTGCGATGGATCATACATGGTTCATTTTCAAATAGAATCTATGATGGTGCCAGTTTACTCCATAGCACTAGTAGTATGCACCAGGGTCAACAGGCCAACCTGCCCAGCGAAATTCGCACGAGGGACGTAGAGTATTGTGATTAGCAAGGCTACCGTAGCAAGAGTGTGCAGCCGTTCGATGTCTTCGCCATAGCGAGCAAAGGTACTCGGTACAACCGTCCCCACGTTCTTGTTAGTTGGTGCGTCTGCTGCGAGACCCAACGGGCACGCGCAAACCGTCACAAAATGACATATCCTTCGCCACTTTGGATCCACAGGCCGTTGAAAGGCTACTGCCGCTACGAAGCCAGAAGGGAAACCCCATGGCATTGTACTGCGCTCTGCGAACGGGTGAATCTAAAAGACGCGGACCTTCTCATCAGCCTCCAGTGTTGAACGTACCCACCATCCGGCCAACACATTGGCAAAGCTCGAGCTGCGTGCCGCTTGGGTTGAGCTTCTTGCAGTGCTTTGGCCTCGACGCATCGATGCGGGATCACCACTGGTCAAGTAGATGTGCGACGTCATTTCTTTTCCTTTGATGCTGTCGTTGCGATATCAATTGTAGGGGCATGTGCTCAGCATATGCCCCAACTTCGCCGCGGTGACCCTAATCGAGAGCCATGCGGCCAAGTGATGCCCGAGGCGCGGCGTCGCGGTGGCCGAGCGCTGCAGCATGTGAATCAACTCTTCGACACGCGGGTGGGCGACGACTGCGAGCAGATTGGGCGCGCGGGCGAGACGGTAATACAAGTCGATCTACCAGGCGCGAGTCGACGACGTCCCGTTTGGTGAGGATCGTCCAGAAAAACAACGTCGATGACTTTTGCTCAAACGCACTGGTCCCGCATAGTACGACCAATCAAAGCGGATAATGTCGCATGCATTTTGAACTTGAAATTTTGATACTTTTCCCTCTGTCGAGTACGTGGCACGATCGCAATGCAGCATGCCGTTCTCAAAGAAGGTCGATGTCTCTGTAGCAGCCGTGCGTCGCCACGTCGCAACACCACGATGAACACAACGGTATCCAATATCGTCTGTGCCTGGCGTCATACTACATGTACAACAACCAAGTCGATCGAATGGCACTTCCGACTCGGCCTTTCTCATGAGCTACAATGCAACTGAGTCACAGTGGACGACGACGGTGCGTTCTTTCTGGTGGTACTGCAAGAGCTACAGAAGATCGTCTCAATTAAGTTCAAAATGCAAGTGTTTTTGAGTTTATGTGAAACTCAACCGACAGCGATCACCACGATCGGCGCGCGGTCCGAGGACGTCGACCACAAACGCATCGGTATCTTCTGGCAGCGCCTCCACAACAAACGGAACGTTCTGGGTAAGTGCCAGCGCCCGATAGAGCGCGCGCTTGGCTTCACCGGCACCTCCATGCATTTCGCCGTGGACGATGGCATTCAAGTGGAGCGTCCGGAGCTGGCGGCCCGCGGCTACAAGCTCCGGAAGCACGTCGAGTACGACAGAGAGCCGGATCGCCATGGTTAGCGACGTCAAGCGCGGCAGGTCCAGCGTGCCAGAGAGGACAACTACGACTTCACGCCGCGTCAACTGCTCATCGCTGACATGCAGCGTCTCGAGATGCACGCACGTCGTCGCAAGCGTCTCCATGAGCAGCTCCGTCGAGAACGAGAGATCGCAATTGCAAACAAGAGCAAGAGACATCAGCGCCGGGACCGACAACAAGCCCGCGATCAATGCCTCCATGTCGCCAGCGTTCAACCCAGAGACGAGGAGCCACTGGAGTTGCGCGAGCATGGGCGCCGCCGCCGGACATGTCGCCAACTGGCCAAAGACGCTGCACTCGAGACGCTCGAGCTGCGTGGGCCCGACGGCGGTCGCAAGGTCGGTCATCGTTGCATCGTCGACGACGCTGTTGGTGCGAGCATTCCACTCCAAGGTCTTCAACGACACTGGAAGCGTGCGCCCATGAAAGCCACCGAAGGCACGTGCGTTGTACATGGAGAGCTCTCGCAGCGTCGTGTTGGCTTGGAGCGCATCGCAGAACGCGATGGCAGCATCGTGGTCGATCTGGGCGACTTGAACCAATCGAAGCTTCGTCGCTGGTGCCGTCGAGAGCCACGCTGCCAAGAGATACCCGAGTTCCGGCGGCGCGCGCTGCAGGGCGATAGTCAAATCTTCCACATGCCGGTGGGCGACAACTGCAAGCAGATCGCTGAGCTCACTATTCCCGGTCGGCAGGTTGAGCTTCACGCAGACGACAACTCGGGGCAGATGCGGGCAGCGCTGCAAGAGGAGGCTGCTGATCGCTTGGCCTCGGCCATTAGCCGCACCGTTGCTGTTCAAATGGAGAGTGACGCTGTTGATCGCAGGTCCGACGACAGCGACGAGTGAGGCCAGTGGCGCCGCCTGTCCGATCGGGCACTGGAGTTGAAAACGTGGTCGCAGCGGCAGCGTCGCCGCAAGCAGCGTCAAGACCAAAGGCGGCAACTCCATGCTAAGCAGCGCAATGTGCGGCCAGTTGGTGCTGACCGATGATGGCATCACCGTGGTGCAGGCGAGAAAGGCCGTGAGCGCCGGCGTCCAGAGCGACCGTGGTATCGCGTGGAGGAAGCGGCCAAAGTCTTTCTGGTCGTCTAAGCACATCGCAATGGCCTCGACGACGTGCGGAAGCGCGAGCGCATCTGGTGGCGTCACGTGGGCCCGAGGCGTGCGTTCTTTGTCGGTCATTTTGGTTTCTGTTTGCAGGGTGCTGTGACGCTTTGGCGTTCAACGGGCATACCCGCTTCTAAATTTTATCCGGATGTGAGATCGGATTGGTGGAAGCTTATGGTCCTGCAGCCAATCCAGTGCAAACATGAGAGCTATCGATCTTAATGAGCGACGGCGTCAAGGACGACGGTGTGTGTCGCGCAGTGGCTGCACGTCGCTCACGGGCGACGAAGTGGACAGCCACAACATCGAGACCTTGATCGCAGCCTTGCCGTCTGTGCCTGCGCTGCAACGCTCGACCTCCAGCAGCGCGCCCTTCGACAGAGCTGTTCATGGAGGCGCTCGCGACGACGTGCGTGGGTTCTCACTGAGAACACATTCGTGATAACGCAGAGCGTCCGAGAACTTCTCAGACGCTGCGCGTTATCAAGGAGTGTGAGACGCGTTCAGGTCACAGACGTTCTTGTTGGTGTGCTGCAAGTGCCGCAGTTAGACCATCTCGATGCGTCTCTCAGATGTGCCAAAGGTGCTGTCAGAGCACGCCAATGCCGGCCATAATGTTGGCGACCTCAGGGTGAAGAAGACAAATGGTTTGGGTTCAAGCGCAATCGACAGAGGCCAGACGCTCAACGAAGATCAGAAGCAACTGTCCTGGCGCGTACGACCTACTGGACACGTAGAGGGCTGGGGCCTCTCATGGCACGACGCTGGGGACGTCACGACAGTCGAAAATGCAATCGTGCGAGACGCCGCCCTCATCACACGATCACCGCTGCTAAGTCGTCACGTCGACGATGACGGTTTCAAAGTCGGACGAAGCCACGGTCCATCCATACCCACCCCCGTGATATATGTTGGCAGACCGTAATGCCAGCATGATTGGCCTCCACGTCCTCGCGCCAACGACGCTGTCTGAGGTCGAGAAGAGCTATCGCGAGCAGCGTATGAAGACATTTCGTAGTCAGAGACTGGCCGATCAAAGAACGCAGCGTCAGAGTAACGAGGCAACCGACGCCACCACGGCCCACAGACTCCTCTACGAGGTACTTACCACGTGGGGCAAGAGAAGACGTCGGCAACTTTAGAGGTGCGCCACGCGTTCCGCCACTTCAAGAATGCCTTCCGCGGCGCCACCGTCGCGCTAGCGTCAAGCAACCACGGCGAGGCAAGCTGACGACGTCAAGCGCGCGCTTTTGTCCATTGACAAGCAGCTCGGCGACGCGGCGGCGAGCACGATGTCCATTGTTGCAGCGATCTTGCAGCCCGCCTTGTTTGCCTCGAACACGAGCTCAAGCTCGAGCGGCGTCGTTGACAATTTGAACTCTGTCGACTGCTCGGGTGGCGCTATTCACCGAGCGGCTGCGTGCGAAACGAACGCATCGGTTGGTGCTACCATCGGCGAGGTCGAGCCAGACGAGTCGCAGGCCACGTCGGAAGAGACCTTGACGAGCACCGTGTGTATATCGTGTAGCGCTATCGTGTGGGCGTAAAATCCAAGAGGCATGCAAACGGTAGCGTGTGCTGTCGACCGGCCTGTTCGTTCACGAATGTACCGCTGTAGCTGTAGTGGTGATAGAGGTTGTTGGCTCGTATCTCGTTCATCCTCGTGCAAGCAGGTGTCGGAGGCGACACGTCGGAGGAGTCCTTGGCACCAAGCTCTCGACCATGTATAGAAGACGGCGTTGGGCTTTGAGGCCATTGGTCCGCAACCGTGTCCTGCGCCGAGGCAGCAGTGGCGCCATCAGCTGTGTATGCCATGAAACCAAGGTCGACAAAAGACGCCTCGAAAAGCCCGTTGACGACTTGCGAAAGCGATCGGGCCTGTCGAAGCCGGCTTTTACCTGCCTGCCGCTGATCGTGTTTGAAACTTGCTCGAGACTATCGGCAGCGGTGCCACGTCATCCCACGGTCACGGACGCACCCAGGGTACACTAGTCTTCTACCAGGTGTGCTGCTGCTGGAACTTGTAGCGGTTGATGCGAGAACCCTACATGTTTCTGCAGGCCACTGTTCCATGGATCGAGCGAGACACTCTATGTTGCGGTTGGCATGGAGAGAATCGATCGCCATCGATGCTCGAACGATGCTGCAACAAATCATGGTTGTCAAACTTTCGTGGCAGACGAGTTGCAGTGCAACCAGCGGTGTGGGTCTCCGTCACCGTAACGGCGCAGCGGGTGCAGCTCGATTCGTGTACTGGTGGCTCGACCAAGACGGTTGAAGATGTCAAATACGTCAGTAGGCCCGACGCCTCTTCTACGTAGAGCATTACGGGCGACGAGGCGGATCAACTAAACACAGTCCGACACGGCGCAAGGGTGACAGCAAACTGTCACGAACTTTCACGAAACCCATCAGCGCTGGCACAAAATGTAATGCATTCATCATGTGCATTCATCGCCTTTTCATTGCTCGACCAAGAGTAATAGCCGAACTTTTCGAAAGGACTACGGAGCAACCCATGGGAGTCTTTGCAACCACACGGTGCAACCACAGCTCCGTCCGGATGTTATCTAGATTCCTTGTAGTTGATGTGAGTTTCGAACAGCTCAGTTGCGCCGTCCCCATCAACACGTGAAACCGCTGGACGCGTCAGCATTGTCCATCAATACTACAGTACCGGTATGGGACGACGGAACGACGACGTATACGTGCAAGGTTGCCGGTGCGCTTTGTGCTTCTTCAGTTTAGAGCTTTTCGACTATAATACGAGAGTAAACGACAAGTATTCGCTGGACTTCATTGATACTGCTGACTTTGCGTGTGGTTGAAGGCGCTGGGCGAGGCACCGAAAACGTCCAACGAAACCGAAGTTCGAAGACGATACTGATTGGGTAGAGGAACCAGCACGATGAGTCCAAACTCACGAATCAAATCACGAAATCATCCAGGGATCCAAAAGCACGGAACGAGCACGACCGAGGTGTTGTATTGAGAATTTACCTCCATGTGATTATACCTCTGGATATAACGGGTACGAGAGATGGCCAACAAAGGCGTGGACTTCGCCGATGTGACGCGGAATGCGTCGTGTCCACAATCAATGCCCTTGTCCGCAATCGTCGAAAAGATCTCGTCACGGATCCGACGTTACGGTCCATCCGCTTCGAAATTCGATCGTGGTGTGCTTCGCCTTATGCGGGCAGGAACACTTTCTTTGACTGTGTCCTGTTCGGGCCAATCCATCGACGTCTTCCGCCTGCTCCTTCGATATGCCGCTCTATCCCGCTTGGAGTGGCGTGGGGTGAATACGCCTCTTGTCGGGCTAGAGGGAGTGTAATATGACGCGACGTCAAAACACCTGGTGCAACCTGGAATACCGTAAAGCTCGCGGCCACCGTCGAGCGCAACTGCGTTCAGCTCGCGTCCTGGCCAGTGTTTCAACTCTAACGTTAGCAAAAAAGCTGCATACCAGGGATAAGTGCAGCGATACACCGTGTATCTCATGACGTGAGGCCCCGAACGTAGAAATGCGCCGCTGCTTGATCGTTGCTCGCCTACCATTCGGATAGTTTCATTCTGTGCGCAGGTCCTGGACGATGTGGTACTTGGTCTTGTCCGATTCTTGTGATGAAAGCACACGCATGTTGATCCAGAGTGGGTTGTGCAGCACGGTGGGTTCCCAGTCCGGGCTCCAGTTTGCTCTTTGTACATATCAGTTTGAAAAACGGCATCACCATCCACGCGACCCAAACCGTAAACCAGGTCGTGTGACCTGTTTAATTACGTCCTCATTATTTTTTAAAATATTGGCGTTTGGAGCATGGCCGCGACAAGCTCGTTTGTCGTCAAGCACTGCGGCCACGACGGTGTCTTCCTCCCCAAGTACACACGGTACGCGTCTTACGCATCGCGCAGGTCACTTAGCAATATGCACGACGCAGGTACCAGAAGGCGCAGAAAGTCAAGGTACATGATCAACGGCGATTCCACATGCCTCACAGCAATGACGCGTAGGTGCTCCGGTACGCCGACGACCGCCGTCGCATTGAGGGACACTTGAGCCTTCTAGGTGCTTTCCCCACTGCTGCCCGAGCCACGTCTACTACCGGTACTGCGGCGCGCCCATCGAGGTCAAGACGCAGCTCCCGACCAACGACACGTCCGTCGATGACTACGTCACGCTGCTCAAGATTGCGCCCGCCTACGATGTCGACTGGGCCGTCGGCGAAGTCATTCCGCGAGTGACAGCCGCCGACCTCAAGGCCCGCGCGAACGAGCACGGAACGACGTGGCACGTCGGTCGCAACGAGCTGCGCGCGGGCGGTGAGGTGCGTCGTATCTCAATTGAAGACGCTCGAATCTTGAACTAGACGGCCGAGCTGACGAGCAGCTTCAACAATGACCTCGTCGATGGCTGGGTGTACGGCTGGAAGAGCGGGCGCAGCCAGGTCGTGCGGGACTGTCTCCACCACGTCAAGGTACACAAGGAGCGGAAATGGTCCATATACGGCATGCTGCATGTTGTTGCAGGTGTTTATCTTTGCGATCGAGCGATCAAAAAACGACGTGCACTGGCGGCTCGTCGACCGCGTCTTCTCGCCTGGCTTTACTTTTGTATCGTACCGGAGCCTCCACTACGCCAACGCGTCCGAGCCGAACGAGACGCACCGAGCTGCATCGCCAGTGCTCTCGGGCAACTTGCCACCTAGTGGGATCGCGCCGCCATCGTCGCCACGACACGTCTCTCCCCAAACCCAGCTCATGGCCAACCGGCTCGGGCTCCTCGTCCTCTGCGTGGGCCAGCTACCCGTTATTCATGGGCCGTGGCAAACCGATTTGGTCGAGGCCGTGGCCGGGACCCGCCGCGGGCCACCGACCCCGCTGCCGTTTCGGCTCGTTGCGGTAGTATCAATGTATCAATTATTGTTTTGTGATGTCGGTCGTTGTGCTAGGGCGAGCCGCCAAGCGCGGCGCGCGCCATGCTCATGCAGTGGCTCGTGCACCTCGTGCATTCGCAGCACGCAGCCATGTACCGGCGTGTGATCGCAGCCAACCACAACTGCCTCTTTGACAAGGCGCGGCTCATGACCGCGTACAACGCCTGCGTCCACATGCTGCACGCGGCCTCGGAGGCGTTTTTTGAAGCCCGTGGCACGACTGTCGGCGCCGTTGCCAAGGCCGTCGCGAGCGCTGACCTCGAAGACGCGCTCCAAGCCCAAGTCGGGACCGAGGGTTACTTTGGGTACCATTCGTTTGTCGCTCATTTCCGCGAAGTGTTTCTCGTACTCACGCAAGGAATGGCAAGGGACTGCAAATCAACCAATCTATCTGTAGAGCTCGACGTCGGGCCCCGTGGCGTGGCCGACAGCGCGCGTCTCGCCAATGTGTGGCAACTGGATCTTTGATCCGAGTCGCAGCCGCCTCCAACTCCCCCCGTGCACCGTTTTGGACGCGGTGCGATGGGCGACGTGGCTCTATCGGTGCCGGCTCGCGCTCTCCAACGGCACGCTTTTGGTGCGTCGTGATGTCGAGCATTCAAGTCATATCGTCGCGTAGGTGCAATCGCACTGGGGCGTCTACTCGAGTCGTCCGAGTATGTTGGAGCTCGACCGCTCCCCGCGCATTCTGCGGGTTTTCCCCAACGGCGAGTCGACGATGGCCGGGCACGGCCACGTCCTACGTACGTACTACATTGTTTCCGTACGTCGACCGTTTTAGGATCGAGGATATGGTTTAGATGGAGACTATGTCGCATACGAGCCAACGCGCGGCGAAGTTGTCATCGAGTACTTTGGCTACGACCTTTTGCAGCACGAAGGCTGGCGCATTGTTCTGCATCTCGTGCGCGGCCTCGACGGCTGCCTTGTCGTCCGCGCTGCGATACACAAGTTGGTGGCGCCCATGGACGACGACATTGTGTGCTCGAGCCCGGAGAGCCGCGTCCAGCTCTGGGCCACGTCCCCGTTTGATGTCGTCGGCCACGGTGACGCCGTGTACGTGGCCGCAGCGTAGCGCGTAGCCTCCTCCTCGAGAGACGACGTAACACGACTTGGCGCTGAAATCTACGACCGTCTTGGCTCGCGCTCAACGCTCAAATCCCCCGCGTGACAAGATGTTATCTTATGCTTGGACATGGCATGGTGTCATTTTATCGATGGGAAGGATACCGGCCACAACGTGTGCGACGCCATCGGAATCACCCGGCGCTGAAACACACGTCGTTGGCTAGCGCGAGCGAAGGCGACGCCAGTGGGAACAACGGTCCGAACCAAGGTTCGTCCAGGTGAAGCAAACGGCGGGCCAAGAGAAGAGGCTTGCACGACGATATTCGTTGGCGCAACCCATAAGCTCACGTGACACCGATCACAAGGTAGTCCAACTGTGCATCATGCGCAGGTCGTCTAGGTTCCAATATCCTTCTGTGACTGGACACCCTTTGGCACGACGACAATAAACGCACGGTATGTGTGGTCGATGAGTAGGGCGATGGATCGCGTCTGGCGCGGAACTCAGCTCTGTTGTCTCATTCGATTGCATTTCTAGCAACGGCGACGCCTTGGAGATGTAAACGCAGAACTCGTTCCCTTTGTGCGTGGTACTCTCCCGCATGTGTTGTTCACTGCGGTGACTTGACGATAACTAATTGACCACCACCACTAGAAGTGATGCCACGGCCTCGCACCACACCGTTGCTGTGGTCATCGGCCGTGTCGACCTGGGATGGCATACTGGTGCGTTTTATCCATCTCTACACTTTTGGGCTTGCCGTTCGTTGTGCATAAGTAGCTGGGCCACTGACTCTGATGTTCATCCTCAAATCGCACCATGTCCATCGCAGGACCGGGTCCGTCTTTCAAGGAACTCTGCGTGGCTTTGGTTTCAAAATGTCCACGCAAGGCGCGTCACACGTCGAACGAATCCGCGAAACTCGAGGCTTCGACGTATGTGTCTTTGCCTACGGCTGCAACCCAACCATGGTTTACCACCGGTAAATAGCCGCGACGCGCTTGCATCTCCCAGGGCCCTCTGCACTGTTTTGTGCGATTCAACTACGTACTAGAAATTTCTGACGATTTACGTAGCAATATCTACAAGAGCTTCATGGGTCGACATGTCACAGCCGTCGCCCTCGTCGGTGGCCAAGACGGTACGGTTGCAGCACGCAGTGGAAGAAGTTGGTGGCGACGACGGTCGAGCGAGCGACGAGCAACAGAAGGCTTAAAGAACAGAAGGATAGAAGATGGAAGCTTCGCAGCCGCATTTTGCCTCGTACAAGAACAGTGCTTCCGGCACGTCACGCCGAACATGGCTATCTATGCTCAATGTGTCTACTCTGCTGGCGTGCGACAAGCGAACATCCCCTTGATACTCTGCACGAGCGACGCTCGACGTGCAACGCATGTTCAAGATCTCTTGCTCAGCACCATGGATACAAGTCGAGTCTAATCTCACCATACCCTAGAGGATAGACCAGCCAAGACGAGAGACACACGCGGCAATATGTCTGTGAGTGCAAGGACCCGCTTCGCACTTGACCTACGCTGTGTGGACCGCTCCGTAGACACATGCGGGAAACGGGCAGTCACTATTCGCGCCACATGACGTGAGTTGTGCATCCATCCCACTGCCGTCGCACTCAAATGACGTGATCCAGCGTCAGTCAGCGTTGGTGACGGACCCTGCATCCGATGTGCGTCTTCACGACGCTACTGCAACATGACCGTGCGTTCGTCATGCGTGTCTTACCTCGTAGTATGTCATTGCTTGTACCAACATTTTGGATGACCAATAATGACCCGTTACGCCGGTTTCAGATTACATTCGGCATATGCCACATATAAGACGGTGCGCCGGAATACAACAGTACCGTGACGACGACCTACGAGCGTGCATTCGTACATGTACAGAATGCTCAACGCAAGGGATGTGCAACCATCTTGCATCGCCATCTCGCACGACCCTCTCGCTCGCTTTCGAGCGACCCACGCCGCGCGTCGTCGTCGGATTCGGCACGAGATGCCACTTTTAACACGGACCAAGCATCTCCATATTGCTCCATGAACGTCTACAACGCGGCCGCGGCCGTCGTCGACAAGGTCCGGACCAAGCACAGCGGGATCCGCACGGCGCTCTACGCGCTGCCCATCTCGCATGGCCTGCGGCCGACGATCCAGGCGCTGGCGCAGGAGAGCCTCAAGCACGCCGATGCGCTCGTGGCCGGCGCGTCGGCCGTCGGGCTCCGTCGCCGCGGGTCCAAGCCATTGACGCCAACGAGCGCGTCGACGCGGCACCGC